TACTGTATTAAAAGCTGTTCATAGTATTGTAGAAATGCCAACTGATAAAGTAGTTTTTTTATACTCTTTTTTTAGCTTTTGATTCTCTTTGCTAGTTTTTTATTCTCACTGCAATAAAAGATTTTTTGTGTGTTTGAATGTCTGTTGTACTTGTCTTTATTCTGGGCATGTATTCCAATGAACTAATACCTGGGGACACAGCTCTTTGGGGTAGGAGACGGGCAGCACCCTTGCCAGGACTCGGGGCGGTGGCAGGTCTCCTTGGGCCAGGACTTGCCACAGCTTCTGATTTGGGTGCAGCCCTGGCCAAAGGGCTCCCAGCAGCATTGGTGCCCTTGCCCACACCTTCCTTCTCGGTGTCACACCCCCCGTGTATAGGATGGCCACCAGCCAGCACTTCTCCCAAGGAGACCGTGCCAGCTTGTGTGGAAGGCCCCGTGCCCTTCCCGCTGCGGCTGCATCGGCAGCCGAGGGGGCTCCTTGTGCTGCCGTGAGCAGGCACAGGAGGGGAGTGTTTGCTCATTTCTTGAGCCGTTCCCACAGTTCAGGTCCAACCAGATTAGATACTTCAGAGAGCGGATTCCCTCCAAGGTGGGGCAGGTTGGCCGGGCTGGGGGAGGCCCCAGGCCACGTGGCACTGTGTCACAGGGCCCTTTGTGACATGCCGGGCATGGCCGGTGGGATGGAAGGGGCAGGGTGTCCAAGGGCCCTTTATGACCTGTGGTGACAGAGGTGCTGCTGGTGACACGGCCGCAGTGTCAACAGTGCTCCTCAGAGCAGGCGACGGGACAGGACGGGACAGAGCGGAGCTGTGTGGAGTCCCCACGCAGTCAACTCGTACCTCACTGACCCGGAGCGTTTTGGAGGATTTTCTCATTTCCAGGTGCCCTCGAGGCCTTTCTGCGTGACTTGGAGACCCGGAGCTTCTCCGAGGCGTCTCCAACCCCTTTGGCAGGTGCCCTCGAGGTTTTTCTGCAGGACTTGGAGACCCGGAGTTTCTCTGAGGCGTCTCCAATCCCTGTGGCAGGTGGCCTCAAGGCCATTCTGCAGGACTTATTGAACTGGAGCTTCTCCGAGGCGTCTCTCTTGCAGATGCGCTCGACACCAGACTGTGGCATGGCAGGGAGACGCTTCAGCCTGCTCAGGCTGCTCCGGAGGAAGAAGGAGGAGGAAAACCCTGGGGCTGCTCCAGCACAGCAGCCTGAAGAGGTGCAGCAGGTGCAGCCCCCACAGGAGGGTGAGTGCTGGAGCTGGGCCACAGGGCTGGTGGCTGCAGCCCGCTTGGCCTCATCCTGTCCCATCCCCTCTGGACATGCCCAGGGAAAGGGAGGGGGGCAGAGGGGCCGGAGCTGATCTCCCGGCAGCCCTGCTCCATCCACTGGGCATCCCGGGGCTGGCCCTCCCTGCTCCTGAAGCCAAGGCCTGGGCTGTGTTCTCTGGCCTCTCCCGCACACCCTCAGCTCTGAGCGCGCTCGCTCTTTGCCAGATGCAGGCCATGAGCGGACAGAAGAGCAGCTCCGTGCCCGTGGCCGCTTCCGCAGGGCAGCACAGGTACCTGCAGCCATCCCCTCCTGGGCTGGGCGTGCTGTCACTGCTCAGCCCAGCACCGCTGTCGCAGCCCTCCAGGGGACATCCATCTCTTCCCTGCCCTTCTTTCTCCTGCAGACGTTTATGAAATTCGTGGGGAGTCGGCGTAGGAAATCCAGGATCGCATCAGCTGATGTCGAGGCCCAGCCTGACACCATCCCAACCCAGCTGAAGCCAAAGCCTGATGTCAGCACCACAGCGACTCCTGGCACAGCAAAGTGTGACACCGCAACCAGTGATCACACAACCCACTGGGACACCACCTCGAGCGATGCCGTGTCACACTGTGACTCTGCGCTGCCTGGGCTCACGGAGGAGGCCGACGCCACAACGACGGAGGGCGTGGCGAGCACTGACGCCGCGCCTGTTCAGCACCTGGCCGATGCCCCCAGCCTGGACTTTCTTGGGGAGAGAGCTGTCTCTGCTGAAGTAAGCAGCCTGTGGTCCCCCAAGATGGGTGCACTGGCCCCCTCAGCCTTTGAGGCTGGCACAGTGTGCTGGGAAGGGAAGGATTTCTCGGGGGAAGCTGGGCAAGTTGCTCACTCTGGCAGCTCTCCACCTCTGCCCCGTGCATCCACCAGGCCAGACTGTGGCACTTGGGCACCTGGGGCTACTCAAGGCATCTCCAGTCCCTGGGGCAGGTGCCCTCGAGGCCAGAGGGTGGGACTGGATGAGGCGGAGCATTTCCCAGGTTTTACTCTTGCAGCTGCCTTCAAGGCACGACTGCAGGACTTGGGGAGCCAAAGCTTTTCCATGGCATCTCTGCTGCAGGCAGCCATAACGCCAGACAGAGACGTGCAGCAGAGCCCCCCCACGGTGCCCAAGCTGGCCTAGGTGAAGGAGGAGGAGGAGGAGGAAAGCCCTGGGGCTTCTCCAGCACAGCAGCCTGAAGAGGTGCAGCAGGTGCAGCCCCCACAGGAGGGTGAGTGCTGGAGCTGGGCCACAGGGCTGGTGGCTGCAGCCCCCTTGGCCTCATCCTGTCCCATCCCCTCTGGACATGCCCAGGGAAAGGGAGGGGGGCAGAGGGGCCGGGGCTGATCTCCCGGCAGCCATGCTCCATCCACTGGGCATCCTTCCTGCTCCTGGAGCCAAGGCCTGGGCTGTGTTCTCCGGCCTCTCCCACACACCCTCAGCTCTGAGCGCGCTCGCTCTTTGCCAGATGCAGACCAGGAGCGGACAGAAGAGCAGCTCCGTGCCCGTGGCCGCTTCCGCAGGGCAGCACAGGTACCTGCAGCCATCCCCACCTGGGCTGGGCCTGCTGTCACTGCTCAACCCAGCACCGCTGTCACAGCCCTCCAGGGGACATCCATCTCTTCCTTGCCTTCCTCCTGTAGCTGGTGCATTTGGCATGAAGAGACCACTTTCATGGCCACTGGGGGCACGGCAAACTTGGACCTCTTCAATGCCCAGACCAGCGCTGCCCTGCTGGATTTGCTTGTGGAGAACGGTGTCTACAACAGGAAGCAAGTAAGCAGCCTGTGGCCAGGGCTCCAGTGCCCCAGGGATGCTGTGGCCCCTCACGCCGGCTGCACTGGGCACCGTCAGCCTTTGAGACCAGCAGAGTGTGGTGGCAAGGGGAGCACTTCTTGGGGGAAGCTGGGCAAGTTGCTGGCTCTGGCAGCTCTCCAACTGTTCCCCGTGTCCCCTCCAGGTGCCGGCCATAGTCAGGTGCATCCACCAGTGGCTCACATGCAATGTGTCTGCTGAGCACAGGCTGGACAAGACTCTTGTCCTACTGACCGAGGCACACCCTGTGGATGTTGCAGTGACCCTGCTGTGCTCTGTCCCAGCCTGTGACAGGTATGGGGCCCACCTGCCTTGAGGGCTCTCCTGCCTTTAGACCCCATCCCCCTGCACAACCTGTCCCAAATGGTGTGCCAGAGAGATGGAGACTTCCAGGACACTCCAGCTCCTCTCTTTGCCAGCTTTGGCATGTCAGCCCCCAATCCTGAGGCCAGCCTGCCTCCCTGCCCCACAAGGCACCGTGGCTCTGTCACCTGGGCCCTGCAGATGCCCAGGCCACAGCGCTGTGTCCCAGACCCCCCTGAGCCAGAGTTCTGACTCCACAGAGCTGCTCGCACCATGTGGAGGACGCTCATCTCCTCCAGAGGGACTAAGGAGCCGGTGCTGCAGATCCTCTTCCGTGCGCTGGAATTCTGGCCAGCGCACAGGACACGCACCTCCGATGGGGATGAGAGCGATGTCTTTGCCCTGGCTGTGAGTTTATTGAGCTGGCCTCTGCTCACCCCCAGCTTTCCTCTGGGATGCCTTTTCATCCTCCCTCACCACTGCTTCTCCCTGCCCCAGGCACTGGGCTGCAACCCTGGCTTAGGGGCAAGTTCAGGGCCACCAGGCCGGCGGATCTCCCTGTGTCTCCCCTGACCTCTTCCTGCCATGCTGGGGCCCCGCCACATGAACATCTGGGCCCTGAGAGCTGTCTCTGGGTGCTTTGTCTTTGGCAGGCAACTGTGGCACTCTGGGAGATCCTCCAGCTGCACTGGATCCCAGGGGCGGTGAAGACCAATTTGCCCCGCCTCCTTCTGACTCTGCTCTTCCAAGTTTTCATCAGCACAGAGGAGATGTCAGAGGAGGTCGAGACCTTCTGGGGGCGATGCCGGGAGCAGCGCAGCCTTCCCCCCAACCCCAACAGGTGCTCCATCCCAGTCCTCTCTCCCTGCCACGCCCTCGGGGCTGGGGCCGGGGCTCTGCGCCTGACCTGGGCTGTGCTCTGCACACAGGTTTGCAGTGCAGACCGTCAAAGCCCTGCTGCGCCAGCTGCTGGATGAGGACGTGGTGATGGTGATCCATCGCAAGTGTGGCTGGGACATGCTCCTCAAGGCTGACAGCCACCACTATGCAGTGGGTCTGCTGGCCAGGTGAGAGCCCTTTCTCCCCACTGCCCCCGGCATTCCTGCCCTGTGCACAGGCCACCCCACACAGTGCCCGTGCTGCTGGGCCAGAGGGCCTTGGCAGCCAGGGATGGCTGAGCAGAGTGGCAAAGGCGGAGAGGGGCGGCTGCACAGGAGGAGCCACCTCCCAAAGCGCCCGTGTGCCCTCCCGGGCTGGTGGCCAAAGACCAGGCCTGTGTGAGTCAGTCCCAGGAGAGCTTTGCCCACCTGGCTCAGGGTCTCAGGTGCCTTTATTCCCCCTTGCAGGGAGCTGTGCCGTATCTCCCGCTCCTTCTGCCGCAGCGTCGCCGCCAACCTGCTCCCGCGGCTCAGCAGGGAAGAGCCCCTGTGGGAACTGCCTGCCCTGGCGTTCCTGGTGGAGGTGAGCCTGATGGCGAGCGCTGCCTGGCCCAGCTGCCTCCCCCTCTCTGCCCTCTCACAGCCGCAGCCGCCTGGGACGGTGCCTGCACCCTGTGCTGCTGCCTGGGCCCAGCCCCGGGCGGGTCCGGGCTCCTGCCGGCCGGGCACCCC